GCGTGCGTGCGTTCGTGCGTGCGTGCGTGCGTTCGTGCGTGCGTGCGTGCGTGTGTGCGCGCATGCGTGCGCACGTGTGTATATAATAGTATACAGTGTAACAGTTATGTCGCATTTCAAATTTAGACAGATTCACGTAAATTCGAGGTTTGTATGCCAGAGAGTAGATGCATGCATTAATTCTGCTCATATTTCTACTCTGTTTTTTTACGCAGCTCGATAAAGAAGATGCAGACGCGAAAGACAATGACGATGAAGAACCTGATTTCTACGAACAGACACACATGCCGATATAGACGCCACCACTGTGGAATGTCTTATATGCACATGGCCTGGAGTGTCAATACCCGAAATTAAGACTTCTGACCCCCCAAAGGTCAAGTGATTAGTCACACAGACGTGATTTTTCTACCTGTACCTGATTACCTCTGATTATCTGTTAAATACCTGAAATGAAGACTTCAGACCCCCCCCCAAGGTCATATGAGTCACACAGACGTGACTTCTCTACCTCTTGTCTTTTCATCATTTGTAACCTTTTTTCCAGTATTTAGTCATGTCGTTGTTGACGGTTTATCTCTCTGTGACCTTTGGCCACAATGTCATTTTATCGGTGATTTAGACTATATCTACCTCTTATTAGCTACACCTCATTTTTTAGCATGTATCTTTCTGTTTTTTTAGATAGAATTTGCAGTCAGGGATCTCCAACTTTTGATATATAATTTAATGAGCACCAGCTCAACAAATGCTGGCTGATTCATTGAATCTTTGAACACAAGGTGAAAGGATTGGTGGTTTCGTAACCTTCTCATTCCTCTGTCAGCTTTATTTACCAACCTCACTATAAAGTATCTCTATTAATGCGTTTGTGGGTTTCTTATTACGTATACATATACCACTATATTTCTTATTATTGTTGGCAATCAGGGATCTTGTTTGAAGGCTATACATATTTTATGCCCGCACCAGGCATTTCAGACCTCATCTTAGAAACTAGTCTGAGTTTCATCTGACTAATGCCCACACTGACGATTTTTGGTGGATTTGTTGTGGGTTTTGAACCACACTCAGACTACTTGGAAATATATTCGTGTTGTTACAGAGCGTGTTTGCTGCGTCTGATCTTGACACGTGCCCTGTACCACAGCCGTGCTGTGTTTAGGGTATGAAGTAATAATTTATACATTATTTGTTATCGCCTGTCTGACAGCGAGTGATCACACGTTTATTACGCGATACATTGATTTGCATTGTCTTCCAAGAAAGTGGCGTAATATCAATAAAGATGGCGCGGTTATGAATGATCAAATAGTAGGTCTCAGGGGAGAGATAGTGATCCGCTAGATGGTGCATTATTAGTATAAATAAGTTGTGGATATAGAAATCAGTTAAATTAACCCTAACCCTAACCCTAACCCTAACCCTAATCCTAACCCTAACCCCAACCCTAATTCTAAAATAAAACAAAATTAGCCAAAAATAATAAAAAATTAAATAAATAAGAGACAAAATTAGCCAATCAGAGCCGTCCCCTAGCGGATCACTATCTCTCCCCTGTGCAAAATTTATGATCAAAAACCAAGCGAGTGCGGTGTATAGTAAGTGTACATACGGGGAGTTGCAGCGTCCATCCTGGTATTTACCTCCTGGAGTATGTATGGTGTAGCTGTCGGCTCCCAGTCCCTTTATTGTTATGATGCTGTTATTATAATGCTGCGGTTGTTTGTCTTCTGTTTGTGAGAGTGTAAGCAGCCGTGATCGTGTTCGTTGATTAACTTACTCTGTGGTTTTGTTCCTTGTTTCTTGTCTTTGTTCCTTGTTTCTTGTTCCTTGTTTCATATCGTGATTTCTAGAATGTTTTCTAAATAAAAATGAATTTTTTTCAACATATCTGTTTTTTTACCGTGCAATATCCATATATGTTGATGAGGTGCAGAATGTTATATTTGACTAATTGATTATCTGAAAAAGCGACGAATTTTATCAAAGTGTGGGTGAAAGTTTTCGTGCTATGAAATTTTATCTACTTGTTTTTTTATAAATTTGTTATCAGAGTTAAATTTGTTAGAAATCGTAGATAAGCATATCAATATTTTTATATTTTTATACGATTTTAATGAAAAATCGGGCGCTGCTGATAATTTTTTCTGTAATTAATAATCATGGTTGCAACTCCTAAGTGTGCGTGCGTGCGTGCGTGTGCCGTAGCTGCAGCCTGCTTTTATTGACGGGTAGATTCTTAACACTGGTGTTTGTGAGATATACTTATGGAATTAATCGAAAACCCGAAACCCTGTACAGGCGCACGCACATAAAGATTGATAAATTTATAGACCGCTGAACGTGTTCCACTTGCAGTAGGACAACGCTTCCCTGATCTGGAAACTACTCACCTATTACGTTCGTGTTTACACTTTAAACGTTTCTTCGGACACATTCGATGGTATATGTGGATGTAATTTATTTACTAACTATGATGCCATACGTCTTACCACCTGCAAAGTTTGTATGTATATATAAACTTTGCACAACGTTTGCTAGACCTCGCGATGTAGGGAAGATATTTAGGCATTCATGTAACTGCACTGATACGCGTTGTCGCGTGGTCAGTTGCGTAAACACAAGGTAATGATTTTTCTATTCGAGATTTACGTATTAATCTGAGTATATTTAGCCGCTAGTTTGCCAGCGCGAACATGTGATGATGTCATTGCTATATTATTGTGGCATATATTGTGTTGTTACGGTGCTGTGTTACGTGTGGCTCTCTTCCGTCACGATACCGCGAGCTGTCCGCTGCAGCAGTGATAAAGAAGAGAAGAGTTGTAAGTAGTATGTGCTAAATATTGTGTGCTATAAAAATAAGACCACACAGTTCTACCGGGCATATACATTTGCCGTGCTATATATTAATTATGTTTGTTAGCGTGCGCGTGCGTTTTAACGATATTGAATACCCGGGGCAGGGTGAACGTTTTATAAGAGATTACAATATGATTATTTTGGTGTGTGGTTGATTTTTGCTTCCAATACGGTGGTGCTGGGTGTAGAAGGAATATCGTTTGTTGAATGTAGTTTGATATTCTCGTATGTCATATGAGAAATTAACAATGAGAAATTAGCCTATTTTGAAATCCTTGCCAGAAATTCGGTCAACTGTTTGAAAAATAAAAACGTTTAAAAATGCGACTTTTTTATTTATTTCATAATATTTATTGCTCACATATTATAGTGGTGGTGGCAAAGTAAAGTAACTCCAAAGTGTAAGTTATTGGTTTGTTTATTATTCGTGTTCATTTTTAACAGTCGCTTGTACAAATTTAACTTAACAGTCCGTCTTTTTACGGTTATAAACTACACGCCTCACTAAGTGTTCACTAAAAGTAAAATACTGGCCAAACCTAAACTACAGGCCATATACAAGACGAGTACATTGGAAACAATGCAGTGTCACGTGTTATAGAAATATGTGACAAAAAGGATTTCCGATAAAAAATAATATCCATCTTTCTTAAACACATGCGCGCGCGTTTGTTATTGTGTGTTCGTGTAATTTTACAGAATATTTGCTTACCGTTATCCATGTTCAGTAGGCGCAAACTTGATCGCGCGATAATAACAAAAGTCCGTATAGCTATATATATCTACTTGACACTTCCATCTTATTCTATTATTATTCTTAATGGACTTCATGGAAGCTCTGACACCAGCCCTATCAAGTTAGTTCCCTCTGTCTATACCAACGAATAGCCACTACGTCTATCGCTGGCCGTCGTACTCAGAAATAATTTATTTTACCGCGGTTGAAATAATTGGCCTTTTACCCAATCTGATGTCGTGTATCACATAATTCAACCGGGGATAAATTATTTCTACCGCGGCAGAAATAATTCGGAAGCCTTGTTGTTCTTAGTTATTAGTTGCTGAAGAACACTGATGCAATTCCGCTAGAGTTCGTCGATTTCCTGACGTCGAATATGAAGCAGGGTGTCCAACTCACGAGAGCTGATCGTTTGGTACTGCAACAACAGCATGGTTATTTAATTCCTAAACTCTTCTTTATTTGTCATAATTTCATCAGTTGAGCTTAGAGCTTAGCGATATATCAAATCCTAGCTCGCATATAAAACGTCGGAAATTTAGCGGGTCCGCGTAAAAGCAGTAGCAGTTAGACATCGCAACCAATAGTTTAAACGGTCCCTGGAGGAATATCCCCTTTTTAATGTAATAATAATATATATAGTGTAAGGAACGTTGTTGTCTTACGTAGCTATAAGGCCTTACCCCTGAGATATTCTTCTGTAGTTGAAGTTGGCTGTAAAGTCGCCTGCCCTCCACTTTACCGCAATACTGTTCCAGCTCAGATGCCTTGAGCATGAAGAGAGAGGCACCGTCTAGTCCGTCCAGTAGGTCGCGCACACTGCAGCGGGAAACGCGAGGAGTGTGAGTGAGAGAGACAGAGAGAGAGAGGGGGGGGGAGAGCGAGCGCGAGAGAGAGAGAGAAGGAGGGAGAGAGGGGGAGAAACAGATAGATGAAGAGGGAGAGAGAGAGAAGGGGGATTATTACTGGAGGCCCCTCCGCGCTCCGTTTCCGTGAGAATCTGCGAGGTTTCTTTGTGCGAGGATGTCAAAGAGCATCAAATGCCAAGATGTCAAAGCCAGAGAGGAAGGGGAGAGAGGAAGCCACCTCTTCATATACTATATCCCTATATACTCTCCTCTCTCCGTCTCTTCTCCCTCCGTCCACTTCCCTCTTCCTAACTTCCTTACTCCCCTCTCGCGGATAGTATCGCCCACTGCACCAGTTGCACGCGAAAACCTTCACACGAAAATGGCTGGTTTTCAGTCGCAACATTTTCACCCCACCAAAGCACAAAAAGTGGATATACGGCTATAATACGCGTTTTTATAATCACATAATCACACATACACACACGCACACGAACGCGCACACGCGGGCATGGTCGCACGCACGCGTGCGCGTGTATTATACGCGTAAATCCCCATTTTGTGCCTCGGGGAGTGAAAAAGTTTCGGCTGAAATACGGCCATTTCCCTTCAAATGTTTTTCCATGCTTGACTGGTCATGGGCGATACAATCCGCGAGAGGGGAGTAAGGAAGTGAGGAAGAGGGAAGTGGGCGGAGGGAGAAGCGACAGAGAGAGAGGAGTGTATATATATATGTAGCGCCCGAGAAAGAGAGAATAATTGCAAGAGAGAGAGAGAGAGAGAGAGAGAGAGAGCGCGCACGAGAGAGAGAGAAGGGGGATTAATACATCACTTTCTCTCCCCCTATCTCAGTCTCTATCTTTCTTTGTTTCTCTCTCTGTATATCTCTCCCGATCTCTGTCTGCCTCACTCCTCTCTCTCTGTCCTTTTCTCTCTCCCCCTCTTTCTCGCTCGCTCTCGTGCTTTCTCTCTCTCTCTCTCGCTCGCTCCCTCTCCTTCCTCTGTGGGTGGGTGTGCGTTTGTGTGTGCTTGCGTTTGTGCGCGCGCGTGCGTGCGTGCATTCAACATCTCACCTGCCATTGAACTGCTTCTCCTTGAGCCACTGCTGCACCTGGTCCGGACGTGACGTACCGGATATGCTGCTACTGGCCAACGCCGTACGCCGGATGTTGAGCTTGTGTGGCGACAGCAGCATCTTCTGCTTCAGTTCGTCACGGAGGCGGTCCTGCTGTGAGTCGTCTGCTGCCACCGAGAGATGGAGGATGAGGATGAGGATGAAGAGGAAGAGGAGGAGGAGGAGGAGGAGATGTAGCGACTGACGTGCGCTTTATAAACACGCGCGGACGTACGCACGCGCTCTCACGCATGTAAACACACACACATACGCACGCACGTACATATACACCCACACTCACATGCACGCACGCATGATCACCCTTACCCTGGAAAAGCACACACACGTGCGCATACAGATATATATATGAATATATATATACATATATATTATGTATATATGTATATATATATATACATATATATTATGTATATATTACTGCGTCACCTAGTTTTGTCCACACATTAGACACAAAGATTTATTAATTAGTTACTATTAATTGAGGACTGATCTGTAAGCGCTTTAAATACGGGGTTCTTTTATTCATTTCTTAATTCGTTTTGCAAAGTCTCTCACTGAGGAAGAGAAAGACAAATAGAAAGAGAGAGAGAGCGAGAGAGAGAGCGAGCGAGAGAGAGAGAGAGAGAGAGAGAGAGAGAGGGGAGAGAGAGTGCGAGAGAGAGAGAGAAAGAGAGAGAAGAGAGAGAGAGAGAGAGAGAGAGAGAGAGAGAAAGAGGGCGCGATAGAGTGAGAGAGAGAAAGAGAGAGAGAGAGAGAGAGATAGAGAGAGAGCGCGATAGAGAGAGAGCGCGATAGAGAGAGAGAAAGAGAGAGAGGAGAGAGAGAGAGAGAGAGAGAGAGTGAGAGAGAGAGAGAGAGAGAGAGAGAGAGAGAGAGAGAGAGAGAGAGTGAGAGAGAGAGAGAGAGAGAGATAGAGCTTATTTTTTCTCACGCTCACGTAAAGTAAATCTCTAATTCTCTCTTACATCTCCTCTTTGCATTCTCTTTAGTTTCTTTCACAATTCTTTCTACACGAATTCTATTGTAGTGCGCAACTATCACCTAACATAGAGCAATAAGCTAGTGTCGAATCTACATGAGGTATGGGGAAGGAGTATGTGCGTCCTGGAGGTCTCCATTTCACGAGGATGATAGGATAGAAGAGACAGAATAGAATCAGAGAGGGTATTGTCTAAATAGTTCACTCTTCGTTGCGTACTGTTTATTATTATTAACTATCATGATTGCGATTCAATTTTGTCGAACGTAAAATAAATACTTTCGAAGTTTTGTAAGTGAGAATTTCGAATGGCCCGACGATGATGCTGATGCAGTTTATCATGGTGAAGCCACATGCGTGTTTCGTTATGGGAGGGTGACCCGCCACTGACCATTGACCATGTATGTATATACATTTCTCTGGGGGAGGGAGAAGGGGTTGCTCCCCTTGCCCTCCGCTAGCAATGGCCCTGAATAATCAAACAGAATGATCTTTATTCCCTCCTGATAGAATCGAGCGCTAGCTGGCGTACAGGAATGGAGAGGACGCACAGTTAGTTATACCTATCTTCTCAGCCTCCTCCTCCAACGCAGCTACCACCGGCTTCTTCTCTGGGATCCTAATCGGTGGTGCAACTGGTCTCATTGTTGGAGACGCCGCTAGCTTCCTCTCGGGAGAATCCCGAGGGCTCCTCTCCGGTACCAAATCCGGAACCGAGCGCAGCTGCGTCTCCCGTATCGGGGCGTTTATCCAGTCTACCTCCGGGCGTCTCTCTGGCACGGAATCCGATTCGGATGCGGGATCATCCGACGCCCTCCGAGGCGTCTGCTCCGATTTCCCGCGAAGTATCGGATCCGGTTTTCTCTGCGGAACCTTGTGCGATACCCTCTCCGCTCTCACATCTGACAGCACCAACAAAACCCTCACGTCATCATGGCAAGCGTACGCGCGAGCAAGCACCTATCGTACGAGTGAGTCTATGTGACACACCGCGCTACGAGAAAAGCTTGTGGGTATTAACTAGAGGGAGCTGTATCCGTCTGGGTCAACACAGAGCAGAGAACACGATGGTGACACTTTGGCGAACGTTAATTATTTGTTATTCACTATACGCTCGATGGTGGACGCTTGGGGCATGTTTACTAGGGATTATAACTCTACATGTAGACTATCTATCTGTCTGTCTGTCTGTCTATCTATCTATCTCTCTCCCTATATATATATATATAGTTAAATTTTTGTTCATACCAAAAATATATTAACAAAATTAGGAGGCATTACTTTCTTTTCTAATATCTACAGCACATATCAGTACTTTTTTGAGTTATACTAAATTATAACTGATACTGCAACAAATATATGTGATGATACGTTTAGCTTATTATTGTATTATTAAAGCGTTCGTCTATGGTGGTTCTTTCTTCAACAAAATTTCTGATTACACACGTGCACATGCTATATAAGCGGTGTCTTTACTTTCTTACATAGTCCCTTTCCCTTCCATTCCTTTCATTACTTCCTTGGGCGATAATTTTTTATTTTGTTGGTTTACAGATCCGCCGACCCGAATTTTCAAGAAAAACGAAAAAAAAAAAAATTGCAAATCTGTATTTTTTTATTCCCGCCGACCTTTTCTCTAAGAAATATGAATAAAAAATTTTTTTATGTAAAAAACAAAAACATTTCATAAACAAATAGTTTATAATAAAAGTAAAATTAATTACAAGTTGAGTTTTGTTTTCATTTAGTTTTCTTAAAATACTTTAATATCATGTATAACAGTATCACTGTATTTTGACTTGTTTTATCTGACAAAACAACATTTTTTTTTTTTTTTTTTACCCTACCGAGTCAACAACAACAACAAAAATTCTGTAAACCAACAAAATGAAAAATGGTGGCCTTAGTTACATTCGTTGACAACAGATTGGAACTGTACTGCACCGCTACGATTCGAACAACAGTAGTAAGTCTTTCTCGTTTATTATTGCCTTCCCCACCCCTCCTCACCCCCACACCCCAGGTTCCTCGGTCACGCATGTTCCGTCTAGTGCTCTCACTGCTACCGGTGCTTCACTGAAGATTGCAAACTTTTACTACACATTCTAAACGCCTAGCATGCTACAAGCGACAGCGGCGACACACACACGCACACACAAAAAAGCAAAAACACCGGAACAGAAACAAGCTTGGGAATAACACGGTTTATTGTAATAAAACACGGGCGATGCGGGGGGTCACAGTCGTCATGCAAACAACGTCAGGAAGAAATAAACACGTACTGATGCACAAACATCGACGAGCGACCTGCACGCAATCTATCGTGCGGCAACGTAAACATCCATGCATCTCCCAAACGCACCCGTGACCTTTCCTGTATGACCTTTGACCGAGCGACGTCACTGGACGCTCGCCTTCTAACACGGACAGGAGGCGAACACACTGAGACATCATTCGCCCCGCCCACTACATGCGACGCACCAATCACGCGACGCCGCGACGATGTCCGGCATGTGGGTAGCCAAAGGGGAGCTTTAGCCCACTCGCTGGCAGTGACGTCAGACCGCCCTACACTCTGGGGCTCGTTTTCAGAAACAAAATCAGTCTTAACATGAGTCCTAACACGAACCTTTTCTCACAGACCGTCGACAAAAATCCCCGTAAACTTACGAGTTTCTTAATGTATATAAAGATGTGTGGTTTTGCGAGAAAAAGGTCAATGTGAAGACTAATTTGTTTCTGACAACGTGACCTTGAATTCACAGCAAACAGAGCTAGAGGACATCTAATCGACGGTGTGTCAACGTCGCTAACACACTGTCAACACGCTAGGAGGTGGAAGAGAAGGCATGGTGAGAGTGAGACGGACACCCGACAGCCACGACCGCGGCACACCCAATACGACAAAGACGATCGGCGACAGTCAATGACCACAAACTACACCTTCCCGCTCTATCTGAGTGGAGACGGAAGGATCGGTGACGTCACGGGAACATGGCGGTCGTCTGCGCGTCACGTGGGCTAGCAGAGGGAAGGATCGGTGACGTCACGGGAACATGGCGGTCGTCTGCGCGTCACGTGGGCTAGCAGAAGAGAACATGACGTAGCACTGAGACATGTGGATGCTACTGCTACGACAGACAAAGCACTGTCTACTGCAAACTACAGCTAGACCAGGAGTTCTTATCCTGTGGTCCATGGACCCCTTTAGGGTCCGCGCATGGGCTTTAAGGGGGTCCGTGAACCAGGCGCATGCAATAGTTTGTGTTTACGTGCTTCTGTGCATTTTTCTGGGGAAGGTCCGTAGCTTTCACCAGTTTCTCAAAGGAGTCCACGACTCAAAAAGGTTAAGAACCATTGAGCTAGAGGGAAGGGTAGCATGGTTAACGCACGAGCAGACCTTACTGTGTCTGCCGCTACGGCGTATGGAGGTAGAGAATCGACGTGCCTGCGCACGCGCATGCATTGTTGTTAATCGTGAGTAAAACAGCAGAGAACAGTGACAGCACTATGGCTTTCCCACCACTGCCGAGTTAGCTAGGTAGAACAGCAGAGAACAGTGACAGCACTATGGCTTTCCCACCGCTGCCGAGTTAGCTAGGGAGAACAGCAGAGAACAGTGACAGCAACAGGGGTGACATAATATAGACATAATATCAAGAGCAGATAAAGATTCCCTTCTTTATCTGCTCTTGATAATATATAGACATAATATCAACATATCTATATTATGACACTGCTGATATAGCACTATGGTTTTCCCACCATCCCACTGTTGAGTTAGCTATCGGTTAGTACGCGTGTAACGGTTGCTTCTACGATAGACCGCCACTGACTTCTACAAGCTCCACACATCCTCTCTTTTAGACCCCATAGAGTATAGGTGTTGTTAATGACGTCATTAAGAGCAGGGGTGTCCCCGTTAAATAAATGGAATTTTATCGTTTCGTATTTAGATTGATAAATTAACGGAAAGCGTTAGAATTTACAGAAAGGAATAGAACTCTAATCCGCCTAAGAACTCAACGAGCATGATGCGTTATTGGTAACCTGCTTGAACAGGTGCAATTATCTCTCAAGTAGGGAAAGTTAAGTAAGGTAATGTAAGGCAAAGTAAGTAAGGTAAAGGTTAGTGCTTCGGGCGTGCTTGTGTTACTAACAGATATCCACCACCACCACCTCACCATGACAGCATGCATGCCAATCTCACCACAGATATATCTCGCGACCATGGGTACCCCATCACCAACGATCAACTCTGTGTTGAGACTGCGAGGATGCTACAGGTGCCGTCGTCATGGCGACGCATCAGATATCTAAGTGTAGGGATGCTGCATCTGGGGGAGGGGGCAGCTGCGCACTGCTATCATCATCATCATCATCATCATCATCATCATCAACAGTAGAAAACGGTGCGTGAGTATACACACCAATAATTACCGGCACATAAATATATATATCGCCTCTCTGAAACATGGGTTAACTATAAAAAGTTCTTTAAAAATACACCCGATACACCCATAATTGCCCTCTTCCATATTATACACGTGGTTTTTTACAGGCCTCTATATACGCCTGTGACCATTATTAGCACACTAGTAAACGTTTCTCCCGACACAGGGCGCTCCCACAAAACTGTACAAGAAAGAAAATTTCGATAACGCAGGCACAGCTGGGTTGTCACGGGAAATCATAATTACCAGAATTCTAACGAATGTTTCTCGGGAAATACGAAGAATGATAGAATTATGAACAAGCGATGATTTCGTCAGTTTGGAAATGAAACTCCTACCCTAGGACGAATAATCATAGAGAGCGCGCGTAGTAGAACAGAGTGCTTGATACGTAGAGTCTAGAAAAGCTAAATGATCACCAGTTACTATTATCACGAACGTATGTGTAGAATATTCTACACACAAGTTCAAGCTATTAGCACACCCTGGCCCTGTGCAGATACCCTCACTTCTTCTTAGCTGCCTCGTATGAATGTAATGTCTACTAATTATATAATATGCTAATTATGGACGATTCATTATGCTAATGATCTTTTCACATAACTCTGCAAAGCTCTTGGCTTTGCGACGACAATAGTGTGAAAATTCCTCATCTCTCCGTCTATATAAATCCACTGCTTTTCTCTCTCCGTCTCTTTTATAATTATATAATACAATAATTATTTACGAACAACAAAATCTTGAAAACAATACTGCCTGAATTGTGAGAACAACAGAAAAATGCGTAAACAAACATACACTGGTGCAGTAAGCTACAGATCATCGGGAACATGTTACAGGTATCAATGACAGCATGTTACAGATCTCTGTAACATGGTATAGATCTCTGACATGTTACAGATCTCTGTGACAACATGTTATAGATCTCCGACAACACATTACAGATCTGACATGTTACAGGTATCCATGACAGCTTGTTACAGATCACTGTGACAACATGTTATAGATCTCCGACATGTTACAGGTATCCATGACAGCATGTTACAGATCTCTGCGACGACATGTTACGAAGGAGGCATCACGCAGCAGTGAGAATACCGGGAGGTGGCGACTGTTATCAAATCCTGGGGGACAGTTCCTCTCACAGGACCCCCCCAATGTCATCAAAGGTCAGTGAAGGTTAACCGGGCAGAACACATTTATCGAGATACGCCGCGCCAGCTCCCAGCATCCTCCCTGCTCCCTCCTCCAATGACGATTCGAAAACAAAATAAAGCCCATGCTCGAGCACACAAGATTCACCTGCTGTGGGCGGGGGCTTGGTCATCATGGGGGGAGGGGTCGGTGGGGCTGGTGCAGGGGGAGGGCTGGGGGTCTCATAATCCTTCTCAGGCTCAGGCTCACCCGCGTGCATCTGAAATCAGGCATCATGCATGCAGCACCTGAAACAAGCAACTCGAGCAAAACAGGCGAGGGCGATGGATGTACTACTGTGTGAGGTGTCTACGACAGCGGGGGTGATGTACCGTGTGCGGTGTCTAGCCGAGTACGGGTCCGCGACGCTGGCAGGCGGTCAGCCATCCCACGATCACCACCACGCGGCAGCCACCACACCTGCGCAAGCCACCACAGAGACAACCGTGATTCACCTGCACACGCGCATTGATTCCATGGCGAGTTATACACCGACGAGAGAAGATGCGTACAAGACACGATATGCAGCAACACCTACACGAGGCCACCCTTAAAAAATTGTTTGTTTCCCCTTTACCTACTCGCCTCTCAGGGTACCGAGTAGGTAGGTAAGTGAAAAATCTTTTTTATTTTGTTTTGGCAAGATGTGTGTATGTATATTGTATATTCTGTTTTGTGTATGTTTTTGCGGAACGAATTTGATTTTTTTTTTGGCGAAACAAAATAATTTTTGTTTTGTTTTAATCGGCCAATAAAATGTGTCGAGTAGCGGCGTTTTGGCGAGTCGGTCGGTAAAGGGAAAACAAGCAATATTTTATCTTAGGCCTGATACATCTGCAACATTGTTGCTGCCACGCTGAAGATATTGCAGGCTACGTACCTGTATTACAGATTATACCTGTAAATAGTGTGTAGATATTGCAGGTAGAGACATACCTGTCCTCATAGGAGCGATACTCTACATTTGAATACAGCGACTGGTGCAGGCGCTACCGACTAAGATCAGATTAAACCAACGAGTGTAACAGCATGAAAAAAACGCTTCCATCTCAGCCACACCGACTCGCGCGATCATGCAACAAGAATTAACACCCGCCTGATCGCCCGCCGGGCACTTGTAGGTATTAAACAATGACGACAACCGATGAACTTGAGATACTACCACCAGACATAGACACACATACGGGACACTCGATGACAGAGCACGCCCTCTGTTGGCACTGAACGATGCATTAGATTCAACACAAAAACACCTAGTATGTAACGAACAACACAATCAGGCGCGCGGGAAACGCTCGGCAGAGCGACTCGCGAATTATCGGACATTACGACGACGAATCGCGGCCGCCGCTGCGCGCCACTAAATTATATTAATTATAACTAATTAGTTTCACCTCGTTATGAAAATTTACACATTATCGTAACACACAATCTGTACGTCCAGCCGCGCCGACGCTGCCGCTATATTCACACTAAATTATGTCATCCGGCCGGGGGGCTATGTCCACCGCGGGGCGCCACCGTGGCGGCGGCGGCGGTGGCTAGTAGCGGGAACCTACGTAATTGTAGCCGGTGTCTGTCTCGACATAGGCCTTCAGGATCGTGTAGGGCACATGTCCGATCCGGCCGTAAGCATTTCTCGCCTTCCACCAGTTACGCGTGTCGTCCAAGATCTGTGCAGGGTAGAGAGGCAACGTGCAGAAACGTTAATGGAGAGTCGATGCGCAGCATTCGAGCGTGTGCGGGAAACCAATGCCCCACACGCATGTTAAGAAAACAGGCAAATTAAACCAAATTAAAGAAAAACAAACAAAATCAAACAAAAATCAAACGAACGACACAAATATAAACAAGATCAAACAAAAAATTCAATGAAATAATCAAACAAAAAAGAACAAAATTAGGCAAACGCCTCACATGCCTAGCGATCACACTGCAGCCTCCTCCTCCCTCTCCTCCTCCTCCCGCTCCCCCTCCTTCTCCTCTTCCTCTCCCTCCTCCTCCTCCTCCTCCCCCCTCTCACCTCGAGGAACTCTCCCTTGGAGACGGTCAGCTCCTTCTCGTTCTTGCCGACTCGGTCGTACGTCACCTCGTACGCCTTGCCGCTGGCGTGGCGTAGCTGCTTGAGAAACGACGACTGCGTCTCATCGAAGTTGCGACGCGTCCGGTCGAGCGGGTCGTCCATCTGCTGCTTCGCGCGCTCGTGCATCACGTGACTGCTGCTCATGTGGCTCCGCCTGCTGACGAGAGTGACGGCGAGTTAGCCGTGCGAGGATTTTCATAAAAACTCGCAGGAAATTTTTCCGTGCGCGCGCTTTGTTGGGTTAGGCGAGCCGATTGAAATGCGGGTGAGCAATATTGCGCTTGATTGTTATATTTATATTGTTATATATATTATATTTTGTATTTTTTGTTTCTACGCTTACTTATTTTCGTGCCTTGTGACACGGCAAAGTCTTATTTTATTTAGGAAGCGAGATTTTAAAAAGTGTGCACGCGCATTCTCACGCTGCCCAATTCGGTAACTAGAACGAAAAAGCGCATGCAATCCTACGTCTTCGCAAAACAACAGGCTACACCGGCGTGGCGCGTTGTACGTCCGAAGCGACCTGAATCGTGCGAGAGAGCGAGAGCGAGGAGGCGTGTACGTACTGGTCAGCGGGTGGCGGCGGGCGAGACTCGTACTGTGATCCGTGTCTGCTCGTCTGCCCCTGCCCGTCGTAGAATCTCTCCTCGCTGTGTCGTGCGTCGAACCTGCGCATCGATAATAACGTTTAATTAACGATATTAATTAACGTTTAATCAATCATTACCGAATACAATCACTCGGGTGTATTTGAGACGGGCATGCATTGGCCCACGGACAACCATGTGACATTTCACACCAATTTTAAGGGTAATCCCACTCATCAGGCCCTTTCTATTTTCATCGAAAAATATAGGTGGATGCAGCCCCCACCACAATTTAACAGGTAATCCCACTTATCAGGCCTACTCTATTCATAGGTCTTCCCTTTGCTCAAGTCCTTAAAATATAGGTGGATGCAGCCCCCACCACAATTTAACAAGTAATCCTACTTATCAGGCCTATTCTATTTATAGGTCTTCCCTTTGCTCAAGTCCTTAAAATCTAGGTGGATGGAGCACCCCCCCCCCCCGGTCCACACCCTCAGAGGCTGAGGCAGGTATGTGTCACTGACCTGGGTTCGGCGCGGCGGTCCGCGGTAATCGTTAGCTGGCGGCTTGTAGTCGCTTCCCTGTCGCTTCTCCTCGTATCTCTCCGTGTGCCGTGAGTCGGCACCAAACCGCTCTCCGGTCCGCGTAACCTGCGGGGCAAGCGACGGTGAATATATAAAACATCCACTATATATGTATGTATATATATATATATGTATGTATGTATATATATATATATATATATGTATGTATAAATATATATATGTATGTATATATATATATATGTATGTTTGTATAATGTGGACGGTAAAACATCCACTATATATGTATGTATGTATGTATGTATGTATGTATATATATATGTATATATATAATATACTATGTATGTAGTATGTAAATGTGACGGTAAACAAAACAAAAATCGCCACTATATACTGTATGTATGTAATATATATATATAATTATGTATGTATGTATATATATATATATATATATGTATGTACAATGTGTACGGTAAAACATCCAGCTATGGGTGAGCAGCGGATTGATGCTGAGAGAGAAGATGATAGCTGAGGCAGCATGCCAACAACACTGAAGGCTACATATCTGTTGTTACACTATTATATGACACTATGTCGACACATATCCTTGTAGAAGGAAGTTATCCAAATCTTCAAAATAATCGCCAAGAGAAGAACCACTGAAGTGCAGCGAGGTGTCGTCCATTTAATACGTGTAGAAGGAAACTGAGACAGAATATTTAATACGACGAAGGTGAAGATGGAATGGTAGATAAACGTGTACATATGTATAGAAAGGTACTGGGTTTGCTATTTGCAGTTATTCCAAAGCATAGGTATCTGCACAGTAGTAATACAAGGTAATATAGTAGTTATAGCACAGCATAATTGTTTCGCGCAAATCACGGACGAATCGCTTCGAAATCGCCACATGAATCGACAGGTAGTGCCACCTGGTGAGTGACGAGAGCGTACCTGTCCGGGGGCGGGGCTTGATCGTAGCGTATCTCGGAGCCGTAGCGCTCCTGCGAGGGCTGATGTGAGTAGCGGCTGTCGCGGTCGTCGTAGCGTGCATAGTGCTGCTGCCTCTCCTCCGCCTGGTGGAGAAAACATGCGATACCTCATCGTCAACGCACGGTTCAGGTGCCGCAAATATTACTTTTATATATATTATATTTTTTTGTATTTTTTTTGTATTGCTTTTATATATGTACTTCCTCACTTTCTCCTCCGCATTACTTTATTTTGTTTAGTCGACACTATTCTCACTCGGGTATATTCGCCCAAATACAATCGTAGGCGCCATAGTTTACGGATGGAATAGAAACAAACATGGAATGGTGCTTTAAATAACAATCGTCAACTATAGACCATACTCTATACACGTTTACACTTTCTACGAAGACAAAAACTCAAAAAATGACCCCGCGGAAAACATAATCTTCATTTTAAACTAGATACGATCGACTTTGTGAGCGTTTGTAAGTGCAGAACACGCGTTGAGCATGATCCCTACCTCGTTCTGTGCCTTCCATATGTCGTCTCCGTGTGTTATGCGTGCGGTGGTCGCTGCCTGGCTTGCGACCCTATCCCGATCATCGATCTCTATCCCGGGCGACCAACCGTCGGCAAACACCGGGTGGTAGGGATGTACGTAGCCCTTGTAAAGTTGTCTGTGTGCAAGCGAAGTAGTTATTAAGCAGGTAGGGATGTACATGGCACTCGTAAAGGTGTTTATGTGCAAGTGAAGTAATTATTTGTCAGGTAAGCATGTACATGGCCCTTGTAAAGGTGTCCATGTGCAAGCAAAGTAATTAGTAGTCAGGTAGGGCTGTATGTAGCTCTCGTAATGGTTATTATAACTAAGATGTAAAACGACTATTTATGGGATGGTTCATGTGGACTACCAGCAGGCAGTTTCTCCTGAGATGAGCTCATGACTCTTATGAAAGAAGGCACCTGCACAACATTCACTTCTAAGCCACCATCTTGCGCGAAAACACACGAACAAGAAAACAACTACTGTATAAGCCGTATTTTTCGCGTACAGATATTTTCGCGAATTCAGACTTCGCAAGTGGAAGACAATTTCGCAAGTGGTTAATTTCGCGGTCGGTGAATTATGTATTATTCGGTATTATTCGGTATGAATGATTCGCGTGTTGTTATTTTCGCGGTTGGAGACGCGTTTGCGAAATTCGCGAAAATACTATACAGTACATTAAACACGCGCAAAAATTAAAACATCATCGCGACAAATACAAATTTTGGAACCACGGACGATTTTCTCTCTCCCCCACAACCGCACAAAAGAGCGTGGTTGGGTAACCCACCGATGGCACCCTCCCACCTTCCCTCCGACCCTCCCTGACGCCCGCACCCCCGCGGACTCACCTTGGCACGGTCCAGGCCTCGCCCAGCGACTCCCACAGCTCCGACTCCTTCGAGGTGAGGCAGTTCTGCAGCATGTCGACCGACTTGAGCGTGAGCAGTGGCGCCACCACGTGGACGGGCAGGTTGACGGCGTAGTTGGAGTCGCGGCAGGCGTCGACGATGAGAGCGAGGGGAGTGAAGAGGAAGTGCACGAGCTCGGGTGCGTTCGGGTCGTGAATTTGATTCTTCAGCTTCGCCTGTGAGAGAGAGGGAGAGCGTGGAAACGCACGCAGACGGTCAATGCATGGCACACGACACACGACGCAGAAGATGGCACGTACAGTTGACCTCTAGAGAAAGGACAGTTATATATGTGCTTACCTCTAGAGAGAGGACAGTTATGCGTGCTCACCTCTAGAGAGAGGACAGTTATGCGTGCTCACCTCTAGAGAGAGGACAGTTATGCGTGCTCACCTCTAGAGAGAGGACAGTTATGCGTGCTCACCTCTAGAGAGAGGACAGTTATGCGTGCTCACCTCTAGAGAGCGG